AGAACTTGACCAATGGGAAGATAAAACTCTTCCTACATTTCAGCTTGAGGGATTTGATTAGAAGAAACTGGGCACCTGGTGTTTTCCAACACAAGCCTTGCGCCGCGGCAGGGTCTGAACTAGAAAAGGGCATCCAAGTCCAGCAGAGCATTGAGATTGCTCTCAGTCCAGATCCAACACTCTGGATCTTCAGGACTTTGATCCCGTTCGTGCTGCCCACAAGTCTTGTGAAGGGCAGGAGCAATACTCCGCATGCTCCAGCAGTTTTGCTGCGTTTCCTCCCGTTGGAAGAACGGGAGCTGAAATGACGGCATCGTGGAAATCAGAGAGGGCAAAAAGGCTTGGGACAAGAGAGCAGAAAGGCAGGAAACAGGAAAGGTAACAGGTTTGGGCAGAGGAGACCTGCCTGATTGTAGGTGTCCCTGGGGAGAGGCGAGTGGAGAAAGGTAAAAGGGCACATGAACGAAGGGATTTGGGATGTGGAAGAGGAGATGCAGCTGCAAATGGTTTAGGAGGAAACAACTCAATATAACAGACACTAGGAGGACAGGAGTGACATTTAGGAGAGCAGAGACAGAAGGGGAATGGAGAGTTTATTTTATTTTAGTTGGTTTCGGCTGACAAAGTAAGATGTTTGGCTGAGCCCGGTGAACTCAGTGAAACACAGACTCTGGTTGGAATTGTAATTTGTCCAGCGGACCTCACTCTGTGGCACAACCTCTGCTCTGGGTCGGAGTACTCAGCCAACAGATCATAGAATCATAGAATCATAGAATCGTTAGGGCTGGAAGGGACCTTCAAAGGTCATCTAGTCCAACCCCCCTGCAAGGAACAGGGATATCTCCAACTAGATCAGGTTGCTCAGGGCCTCGTCCAACCTGGCCTTGAATGTCTCCAGGGATGGAGCATCCACCACCTCTCTGGGCAACCTGTTCCAGTGTTCTACAACTCTCATAGTAAAAAATTTTTTCCAATCATTGGCACATGAGCTGAGAGGCCACAGCAAAACCACGAAGAATCACAAATTTTGATGTTCCCGCGCGCTCATCATTTGCTGCCAACACCAACCTCCTGGTTAAATGCTTCTCCTTGAGGAAGGGGCTGGAAATTCCCAGTCACACAGAGCAGGTGATATTTCTTACAGGGTGAAAGGGTAGGACCTACCAACACGTATCATAAGTCCAAGTTGGAGGGAGAAATTTCTGGCCAGCTCCCAAAACTGAGCGAGCACAGATCGGGGGAAGTTTATCTGAACAGCGTTTGTTATTTCGCAAAACTCTGTAACTCCTTGTTGCTTTCTTAAGAATAAAAATTTTAAAATTTTTTAAAATCCAACAAAATCCACGTCCTAGCTTGTTTTCTTGGTTTCGCCACATCAATGTTTGCTTCGCTTTCAGAGTAGATGTGGTAATTCCCGTACTCTCATATTCACTACACTCCTTTTCTCTGCTCCAGTCCTCGGGACAATTTTCCCGGTTGAAGGCTAAAGCTATGTATCAGCAACAATGATTTTTTATTTTTGAACCCATTTTCCTTGTGTAGCCACTCTCTCCTTCCTGGTTCAGTTATTTACTTCTATGAAAAGCCTTCTCTTCTTCTAAAAACCCATTTCCCGTGCTGACATTGAATTATATCTACAAACATTTGAAGAAGAGTTTTCTTGGCCGATCTCTCTCCTTACTCTTCACCTGTTTTTAAGGACGTTGTAGCCAGGTGGCTACAGAGGGATTTTTTTTGCTTCTTTACTTGATCCTTCACGGTTCCACAGCCGTTGTGCATTGCCCACAGAGATTCCGGGCTTCTTTTGCATCCAGTTTCCTTACCGCTACGGTCCATATTAAAGAGTTTTCTTAACTCCTTGATTTTTTTTTTTTCTTTTGAAACAAAACCTTCATGTACAGTGCAGGCCTCTTCTTATTTAGCCTCACTAGTCCTTATTTAGCTTCCTGCATGATTTATATGTAAGGAAATTATGATCACACGTTCCGAATTTATTTTTGATGACCACCTGCTCTATGACTTAATTGCTATTTACAGCTAATGAACCTTTTGTAGGTTCAGTGATAGTTTGCGAAGGAATTTGTCATCTGTTGTACTGAGAATTATAGGCCTAAGGCTCATTATGATTATCAGAGACTATTCTCTGGTCCATAACTCTGAAGTCAGATTCCCCATGGCAGCATAGTTCTTACTGACATTTATCTCTTTTGATATTAGCTCTCTCCCTACATCTGCAGTTAGGAACTTCAGCAGTTCACAGCTGACTTCAAGCTGCACCGGAGAAAAGCCTCTTCTAATTTTCTGAGTTTCACCTACACAACCTATAACAACATTATTGTGATGCTAACGCACTATTTTTATCCTCCTTTCTATCATATTTGCTCATATATCTTTCCTACTAATATCTGGAAGGCAGTTACAAAGATAATGGAGCCAAAGTCTTCTCAGTAGTAGCAGGTGATACAGCAAGGGGCAATGACAAGTCGAAGCTTGGGAGGCTCAGGCTGAACTTCAGGAATGACTTTTTACTGGAAATGTAATGCAGCACTGGAACAGGTGCCCAGAAACGCAGCAGCATCTCCACTCTTGGAGGGTTTCCAGACTTGGTTGGGCAAAATCACAATGACTTGATTGAGCCAGAGGTTGGATCAGAGACCTCCAGAGGTCTCCTACCACCACCTCTCCGATTCCCTGAAGTACACGGGTGCCTGCCTCCCTGGCCTCACCTGCTTCCCTTAGCGAAACTAGATAGCCCTTTGGCTACCGGTGTTTGCTGCTGCTCCTCTCATCACAATTAGTTCATTCTTTCCCCTTGTTGTCCAGGTCTCGGCCCATCGATACCTCCTTGTCTGTCATCACGTACCTATTTAACTACTTTTCATCTCCCTGCACAGGAAAACAGATACACAGCCCTCTCCTAGCCCTTGCAACGACACTGAATGGCTCTCCTGAACACGATACCTACACGGCAAAGTTATATTTACTACTCAGATTAGTGAGTTGCACAGCTCCGTTCCTTTTAGCCAGGCTGACCCAGCGTGCCATGGATTGCAGCTTTGGAGAGCGGAAGGGAGTCCCAGCTTTCACAGACACCTGGAGGGATTTGATTACAGACGACAGTCAATAGTGGCTTACTGCTCTGCAAAACAAAAGTCTATCGCAACGGCTGCGTCGGAGGCTCGCTGCGGCAACACGCACAACTTGTTTCACGGCCACAGCCCGGGCTGCAGCCCTCCCCCAGCTCCTCTGCATAAAGAGCTAGTGGGCAAATCTGCTGAAATGCAGTTTTGGCCCCACCAGAGCAGGAATAAAAACCCAGAGAAAGGAGCCTTGGCTGAGCGGAGCGCTCTGTTGCGCTTGCCTGGGGTGAAGGAGCTGCATAGACGTTTGTGCCCTGCTTCAGTGTCTGATGGGAATATATGGGTGCATCCCAAGAGCATAGATCACACCAGATAACAACATCTAGGGCCAGGAGCACAGGGATGAGTGCATCTCAGGTCGAGGGGGGATGCAGGGACTGGTACGTGTGTGATAATACCCCAGTGAGGCAGCAGGAGAGCCAGGCAGAGGGGCCGGCCACATCCGACAGCGCAGGGCTCCTAAGAATGACTCCAGCAGGAAGAATTAATATTCCTCGTGAGGCTTCTCCAAGAAGCACTGAAGTGATGAGTGAGGATGGGATTGGGATGCAAGGGGTAAGTCTGCGTCAAGAACCTGTATCTGGCCAGCACAAGGTGCTCCGTGGGCTGGTTGTCAGGAATTGCATGGGAAGAGCTGGGGCTGGGGGTTATCATCGTTTCCTGCAGGTATTTACAGGTGATTGTAGCAGGCCACAGCAAGGGTGGGTTGAGTTACTGCAGGGCTGGGACGACTGTGAAGAGAGGCATAGACCAAGAGAGAAGAAACCATTTTCTCTCCGTGTGTCTGAAAGACGGGGAAAAAGGCAGAAGGTAAAATACCATCTGAGCTCATCCATTTCCTCTCTCGCAGCTTGACTTTTGTCCTCATGATGGTTTTGTCCCCATGAAGCCAGAGCTGACTTGGTAGCCGGTGGTGGCACACATGGGCTCCAGAGCGACCAGCTTCTTTGCAGTTGAAGAAGGTTTGATTTTGGTTTTGGTGGGTTTTGGGGGGGACAAACAAACCAGCTTCAACCTCCAAGTCTCTTACAAATATGAAGTCTTCCAAAAAACAAGCAGACAGAGATGTGGCTGCTTGCAGAGGCTGCTCAGCGGGTCCGGAGGAGACAAGGTTGCACGCAGAAACACGGTGGGAACGGCTGATTAAGTCAATATTATTATTGACTTAAAGAGGGATGTGGCAAGAGCAGCCCGGCTGCAGGTTTGGGGGTGCTCCTCGATCCCAGCTGATCGCACCCCGCTTCCCAGCCGCCGGGGCGGTG